CACATACACATGCACACACACGCACACACACACACACATACCGCGTTTTTTTTTTTTTTCCGCGCACATGCACGTTCACCACTCTCTCGCGCATGGCGCACAGCGCCCCGCGCTGCACTGCGCACCGTACCAGTGTGCCGCAACTATGCTTTCTACATAAGGTAGCAATTTAGACGCATGGAAAACAGGGTATGTCCTGAGGTGTGGAGGTATATCTACACGATAGGAAGGTCCATCTTCACCTCCAATTACTTTGAGAACTTCCCAGGGCCCATAGTAGACAGGTAGCAGTTTCTGAGACACGTTCTCTTCCAAGGAAAATTCTTTAGACTTAACCCAGACAAAGTCCCCTTCTTGGAATTGTGAAGGACGCCTATGTTTATTAGCTTGTTCAATCATTTGCAACTGGGATTTTTGTATATTTTCCTTTACCTTCTTAATGTCTTCTTCATACAGAACTGCAAATTCACGCGTACCTGGGGGTAGCCTCTGAATATGGTCCTTCGTTAAAGCGCCAATGAGACGTCTAGGCTTCCAACCTTTATGCAGTGCATTAGGTGTTCTACCTGTGACAGTGCGTATCCTGTTGTTATTTGCACTGACAATTTTAGGCAAGTTCTCATCCCAGTCAATCTGGTAAGGACGAACATACATTCGCAAAAGTTGTTGGCAGAGACGATTCATTTGTTCAGTTTGACCATTCGTTTCACGATGTCTACCTGATGACATGGTCAACCTGGTTCCATAGACTTCCATCAACTTTTGCCATTGCAGACTAGTGAACCGAACATCTCTATCTGATACGATGGTTTTGGGAAATCCATACTCAGAGACCCATCGCATTTGAAACTTTTGTACGACTAGTTTGGTTCTAGCTTCAGCGGGCAAAGGAATGAACATAGCATACTTGGAGAATCTATCGACAATTACCATTACCTTATTATTGTCGTTTCGACTCTTAGTGAGGCTCATAAAGTCAATTGAGATAGACTCACCCAGCTCACTTGGAATAGGCAGTGGTCGTGGTAGTCCCATCGGATTCTCATGTGAGGGCTTGTTTCTCTGACAGACAAGACAAGTCCGCACATACGTTAGTACATCTTCCTTCCTTCCTTTCCACTCAAAATGTTCTCGCACATTGGCATACGTCTTCTTGAAACCAAAGTGACCTTCTGCATCATGACATTCCCCAATGATCAAACTCTTAATTGGTTCTCGGTGAGGAATACACAATCGTTCTTCGGTTTTGTCCAACAAGAAGAGTAAGCCATCAGTCATTCGATATTCTGGAAATAACTCAGGGTTCTTTCGTAGAGTTCCAATGATAGGACTGCAAATAAGATCACTCCCATAACCCTGGCGGATCTGTTTTTTTAGTTCACTTCCAATATCGAGATAAGAGAGAATAGTTCCAAAGAAATTTGCACGCCTGGACAAAGCATCCGCAACCACGTTAGACTTACCTTTGATGGTTTTCACCTCAAAGTCAAATGTGTGAAGAAAAGGGGACCACCTTACTAACTTGTCGGAGAGTCTAGGCTGAGTTTTTATCCTCTTCAACGTAGAGTGGTCAGAATAGACAGTAAAATGTCTCCCCAACAGGTAGTGCTTCCAGGTTTCTAGTGCAGCTACTAAGTCATACAGTTTCCTTTCATATGTAGAGTTAGCTACCTTTTCGGACGGAAGTCTTCTCGACATAAACTCAACAGGTCTATATCCCTTACCGTCATCCTGTTGTAGCACAACCCCAATCCCATACTGACTGGCGTCAATCGTGACAATGAAAGGAAGAGAAGGGTCAACAATCTTTAAGACAGGGTAGTAAGTCAGGGTATGTTTCAACTTTTTGAATGACGACTCGTGATCTTTGTCGCATAACCAAGGCTTTTCCTTTTTCAGTGATATTCTCATAGGAGCAACTATCAAGGAGAAGTTTCTGACGAACTTCCTATAATAACTAGCGAGTCCTAGAAAAAACTTGAGTTCAGTGACGGTCTTAGGTTGAGGCCCGTCTATGATTGCTGTTGTTTTCTTCTCTTCATGCCTTAGTCCTTCATTCACTATGTGCCCTAGGTATAATATTTTAGGCTTAGCGAATTCAGACTTCTTCGGATTCAATTTGAAGTTGCCTTCGCACAACTTCTGAAGAACCATCCGTAGGTGTTTCTCGTGATCCTCCGGTGTCTTACT